AGGACAGGATATTTTTTTATTTACTCACTAGAACTAGTCTTTATTTTCTTGAAGGAATAAACTTTAAAAATTAAGGGGCATTAGAAAATCTTTCTCAAAAAATAGTGGGCTTACCTATCAGAATAGCCAATAATAGCAGGCATCCGCCAAATAAAAACGAAGACTTCATTGTAACTTTTTAAAATTCAAATCCTTACACTTTCACTAAAACACTAGGTAATTCACTGCATTACTATACTTCAAAAGTAATATTTTAATAAACAATCAATTTACTACACACCCATTTTGTTCACTTCCACTAAAACACAAATAAAAATATAAAATATCGTTTATGATTTACGGAAAATGCCGCCAAAATTGTGACTGGCGACTTTTTAAATGCGCTCGTCGAACCACGTTCGAAAGTCAAGCGCTAACTGCGCATGCCCGGCCAGCGAAACAGGTGTGCGAACCGGTGAAGTAAACGACCCGTATAACCCGACTAAATAGAAAACTGACGAAATTAACAAACTCGTCTTTAATTGAATGACGTGCTAATTCGTTCGGGTTATCATTTGTAGGCGTAGAGCGTATGTGCGGATAGTTGTCGTTATCACACTTTCTACGAGTATTTTCAAATTGTTACGAGTGCTCTGATTAATTTAATTTAAACGTGAACTTCACGGTGTCTCTATTTATGTCTTATGAGGTAACTAGATAGGTGAAGTCATTCATTATTTTATAGGCAAATACTTACCTAAGTACTATTTTGGAAGACTTTCTATAGTGTTAATTTTTTTTGGCTGATTACAAAGTAGTTACCTACCTAATTATTATGAACTAGCTAAGTTGATAAAAAACAGCCTATACAAATAGAACTAAATTGAATTAGGTATTAATAAAATTTGTAAATAATCTTGTCATTTTTATGGTTAAATCTCCAATGGATAAAAACCCTATTACTTACTATCCGTCTCCGCTGTCCTTACCATTCTTTCCGTCCACGGATAGAATGATACAAATCTAACTAATAGGTACTTAATTATTATAAATATTTCATAAAACATATATTTTATACCACCTTAACCACACAAAAATAATCCTCATAGCATGATTCAGTGTTCCCGTGCGACGGCGTGATGGCTTATTATCCGAACTGCTACGCTAGCAGGAGTTACACGTGGTATTGTGAGTTAACCATAAAAGATAAACATATGCTGAAACACAATATTTTTTAGATAACTTTATGTAGAATATTTCCGTAATACATAGTTTCTATGTAACTTTAACTATTAAGGCTACACACGCGACGGAAATTTAAAAAAGGGAGTACCTTCTTCCATTTCTACATTTCTATTCACTGCTCTGCTCCTTATAATTTTAGCGTGATGAAAAGTATACTAGGTATAACCTGCCCAGGAGTATAAAGAATAATTGTGCCAAGTTTCGTTAAAATCCGTTTAGTAGTTTTTATTTCTATAAGGAACATACAGACAGACAGACAGACAGACTGACAAAAATCATATACCTACATCTATAATATAAAAATGGATCGCGAAATGTGTTGGTAAGCGCATAACTCAATAACGCCTGGACCAATTTTGCCAATAATTTTTTTGTTCATTTCATTATTATTGGGAGTTGGTTCTTACGAAAGAAAACTTTAGAAAAGTAAAGGGGAATATCTGGTATCAACAACCCTATCGGAGCCGTGGAAGTTCGTTTGCAAAACAAATGACTGACACCGGGATAGTCGGATACCCGTGTGAAGCAGGGGCGGTCTGCTAGTACTTTTATAAAATCCTTTAAAAGGCACTTTGGAACGTGAAACAAAGATTTTAAGACAAAAGAGACAAAGGTCAGTCTTCTAATCAGTCCTCTAGTACTAACATAAAACTTTTATTGGTATGGAGAAAAAATACCTGCCTAGGCAAAACTATTTCCGATTTTCCGCAAACTATTAATAGTTCGAAATTTAGACTTTTTTGTTGCGTGTCCTATGTATGTCAAAGTCAACGAATACACACGTACGTACGTACATTTACTAATAAAATAAAATGTTCTTGACCTATCGGTTTGGTCACCTGTCACCCATTGCACATGCGCATTACACGCTAAAATGGCCGGTCAAAGTATTTGATATTTGATTGTCAACGTGAACGGATGACAGCGATGTTAAACTGGTGTCATGGAGTACTCCCGTAGCGAAAGGATGTTGCGGTACAGACGTGCCGGGTTTGTTTCCCATGGAAAAATATTTTGTTGGCTGTCGATCATACTTAGTTAATTTATAGCTTTAAGCCATTAGTTACATAGGTACCTACCTTACCTACATATCATGTGTAGGAGAGACCGGAATGATACCATGGTCTCACAGAAAAACAGTGTGTAACAACACAACAACCTTGTTTTTCGCCGTGTGATCGCGGTTACTGGCACTTGTCCCTCTTGTCCCATCCCCAATTTCTAACGTCCAAACATCAAGTACCTAACACCGAAAAGGCCGGCAACTCGTAACTCTTTTGACGTTCAGTCGCGGCCTCAGCCCAGAGCAGGAGAAGGAATGAATGGAATTTTCGCGCCCGACCTTTTCACACTCCCTTCCGCCCGGCCCTAGGCGCTAGAAGTCATTTGGCGATTTCCCCCTCACAAAAAAAATCTTCTGGTGTCCGAATGCATGTTTGCCGCTCTATCACATCATTCAAGCTCTATTATCATTTTTTTCTTTTGCCGTTTTAATTTGCCACGGTTTGGAGATTTGATTTGTTTTCTTGGCTTTCATTTTCATTGAATTTTTATTTTATGTTATTTTGTGCAAAACTTTTTATCGCTTATAAAAGGTATTGAATAGCGGGTATCACAGGCTTTTACTTAAAAGGAGGTATCCCTATGTAAGATTAACTGTAAAAGTTTTGTACATGTTTCTGAAATAAACTTTTTATTAATTTATTATTATTATCACATAAAAAAACTGTTTAAAAGAATAGACAGAATTATAGACAATTGTTTTTTTATACTAAGTTCGTTAGTTGAGTTTCATTATCATGGGGTACAAAAGTACAATGTGAGCTTAGGTACCTACTTTATGTTTGGGTTGGGAATTCATCTGCCTTGGAAGGGCCGAGAAAAAAGTGTCAGACTCTTACTAACGATTCGTTCGCGTCCGTTCTTCTGCTCCAAGCCCAGACCCCAGTACATTATTTCGGTTGAACCTGCAACCCTGAAGCGAGGTAGTTAGGCGGGACAAGTCATTTGAGGATTTTTCTCTCCCAAAAAAGGTACCTACTAGCTTACCTACCGTACAAACATAAATCAATATTATATGAAAATATGTATTTTAATTAGCTAGCTAGCTCCTGGCTTATAAATAGCAAATAGGCAACACCCATTCTTGACATTTGCAAATCAATCAACGGTTCTCATTGAAAATCGAATGTAAAGTCGCGTCACGCTGTCGCGTCGTTTAGGTTCTTATTGCCATTATAGGTAGTAGGTAGGTACTTATAGTACCTATATGAATTATTATGTTTTATTTAGTTTTGAACCAACACTGGCCATGAATAAGTTTATAGGTAGGTACATAAGGACTAAAGAGGCTCATAGCTATACAGCCTTTTTCGCCTACCGAACACAAAAATAATTGAAATATATAGGTACTATAATCATATTTGTATCTATTATACACCTACAGTTAAAATAATATCATTGACAATTTAAAAATAAACCCTTTATTTAATTTAAATACCGGATTCTGTAATAGACGAACACTACTTTTTATGTAATAGGTCGGCAAACGAGCAGACGGATTACCTGATGGTAAGCAATCAGCGCCGCCCATGGACACCCGCAACAGAGGAGTTACGAGTGCGTTGCCGACCTTTTAGGGGTTAGGGATTTGGAGATTTAGGGGTTAAGAAGGGATTGGGGGAGGGGAAAGAAGTACTTATGTACTTAATTTTAAAATCCTATTTCTTTTTAAATGTATTTAGAACCTAATAGGTCTCATAACACAGTTGTCTCAGTAACTGGGCAAATAAGCAAGAGCTGCTACGCAACGCGACGCGGGTTTGATCTCCGGACAGAACAACAGGTTGTGGGGTCACTCATAGGTTGAGTGAGTGACCCACAACCTGTTTCGGGTCTGGGTGTGATGTGTAGATATAAAATCAAGTACTTATCAAAATTTGTCCCCAAAATATCTTATTTGTAAATAACACAGAAAACGCAACCACAACGCAACGGAAGGGTGAATGCAACTGTAAATAGTATAGAAATAGATATTTGAAATTTAAACTGTGTCAAGTAAAAACCTTCGCAGACAATGTGCAAACACACAGTGATTACTTATGTTGTAGGTAGGTAAGTAACTAAGCTTCGTTACGCTTGTTAAACCAATCATTTTGTTTAGTTTTAATTTGAGTGTATCTTACCTGTGAAATTGATAAAATCCAAAAAAAAAACAGTAGGTATTTCTTCTTTATTTTATTTGTCTGAGGTCTCGTATTAATGAGGCGCTTTGTTTATATAATGGTGACTGGTGACATCTCCTTACTGCGTACCTACCTAAATAAATAAAAATATCCCGTAAGAGAAATAATATTTATTTTTGATGAATTCTGTAGGAAACGATACTACTGCCATCTGTTTTTAGTGAAAAGATTAGATCGTAAAACTAAAAAGTATACACATCTGCCTGCAGATGGCGCTGTCATTATTCGTTCTTAAATATTTAACTAGATGTCGGTGTTAGGAACTAATATTCTCGTTTGTTATACCAATTAACATTGACAATTAAAATAAAATGTTAATACGCTATTAGATATATTTAAAATTATAAAATACAATAATTAATAAAACTAAATTGATATGCACATTTATAAAAGTAAATTTTTTGTTATGTCGAGAATATCATGCGTTTAATTTACTTTTTTTTACAAATTTGACTTGGTCAAGCAAACTTTATGCCTAAATCGAAACTTGAATTAGAAAATCAGCTGGTAATAAAATAAATTTTAAAGTAATAAATTATTCCAAATTTAGTGTATTTTTATAAAATAAATGCCAGATCCGATGACGCCATCGATATAAAATTCAACAAACGGTGTGAAGGTTGTTCGCCATCGCTTACGTCTTACGTCGTCGTTGGCAGTGAACGGAACGAAGTGTCGTCGTATAGATCGCTCGCTGGCTGGCTGGCTGAAAATAGTGAACCAAAGTATGAGTTTTCGAAATATGTTCGAATAAAAAGTGTGTAGTGAGTGACTGTCATCCAGCAAGATGGTTGATGACGTGAAAGATATTACCGAAACCGCTGAAAGTAAAGGTATATGTGCAATTATAGTTGAAATGTGTCGTTCTAGTGTTAAAATGTGATTGAAAAATTGTCTAACCCTAAATCGTGTCGTGGCCCCACGTAGTGGGCTCGTGTACCGCTTTCGAGAATGTCCGAAGTGTGATACTATCCTCACAAATTGTGTGTTTTGTTTTTTACCTATATTTGGACGTCTTTTTCACGTCGTGGTATGTTCTATAATTAGAAAAACGCTCGCCAGACGATAATAGTTGGCCGAGAATGTCTCTAAAAACGTTAGGCCGCCGTAATGTCACAGTGTCGCAGATAACTTGGTTTTGTTATGTTAGCTTTATTTTACCGTTATTTGGGTGTATTAATTTAGTTTCAGCAGGTTGTTTCATGTGAAATTCCCGGTGAATGACGTAAATGTAATGATACGTTGTTTGTATGATGTGTAATTTGAGTCATATTATATGATTAGTACGGCGGAGGTTTTGCCGTGTAATACATATTTTACACGTACATTGCAGGTAACTTTCTACTCATTTATCTTATCACAGGTGTATCTGTACGTAATAAGTTTGAATTGCATTGGAAATGAACCATTTTCATCATAACAACTTCAGGGAAATTGTACATAGAAAATATCTGATAAAAGATAAGTTCCTGGCAGGTATTACCGCAATAAGCGCTCTAATACTGATAATTTATACTTGTTGGATAACAGGGGATTGCAGGCTGACTTATCATTGTGATATTGTGCGCAGGTAAAGCTAATATTATTGGTTTTGCAGCAATTGATACAATTTTAAATGATAATGCAGACGGTCATTTGGAATAACTGGTTAACATTAGTATAAGCTTGACTGCTATCATTTATTGCAGAATTAGAATTGCAGCATAAAACCTGGAGATAAGTATTATGCTATGCGTCTAAAACTTGACCACATTTGACAATTTCAATAGGTAAATATGCTTGGATGGTTTGTTTTGAAGCTCTGGTAAGGTGGCAATAGGCACCCTACCTATAACAAGGGTCATGTAAGTTAACGGGTAAAAATTGGGTGCGGTATTAATTGTGCACCTTATGTGAACTCTCTCAATGATAAATTCTCTATTTAAATTGTGTGAAATAAATACTTCAGTTGTAATTGTCCAAGGATAAAAGTTCAATGTTGGTTTTTCAGTTGTATGATTTTGTATGTCTAATATTAGTTATCCTTATAACATATTTCCTCATTATTTATTTGTTACTCCACAAATACTAACCCTAATTTTTCGTCCAAGTTAACTATTGCCCACTTAGAATTTTGTCCTGTGTTATTTTTGGGTGTGTTTACAAACATAGAAATTCACATACACATCTCATCCAGATCCAAAACAACAATTTTGTGAATCATGTAAAGAATTGTTATATGCGGGAATGAAACTTGAGAAACATTACAAATGGTTGGTTCAACAGTACCTGTGCCACATTTGCTGTCAGTTATTGTAAGTTGGGAATTTTAATTAATAACTATCGGGAGTTTTCCTCCTTGTTGATATATTAAAAAAACATATCCTATGATACAGTAATCACTTCATGGTATAAACAAAGTCGCTTTATCTTTAAAACTATGCGATCTTTTATAGATAGACTATTAAAAAAGGAATGTTTTTATGAATAATAGCATCAATTAAATAGTGAGAAATGAATAATCAGGATAGTACCCAACCAAAGCTGGGGCGGGTTGCTAGTAATTTAATAACTCACAGAGCGATTTGGATCTCTGACAGTCAATAAGTCATATATTCAGTAGCTGACATCTTGTACCAGATACAATGGTCTAATACATGATGATGAAACATAAATTCCAAGTCACATACATATATCTAATATCATACACTCAAAAACCCACATGATTAGGTGTCTCTCATTAAAATATTCAGTGTAGGAGTAAGTGCCATATACCTAATATCCAAATTAGTATTTACTTGAATGATTTATGCTTAAATGTAAATTTTGATTAATATTCACAATCCTTCAAACACCAGTTGCAATGTTAGCATAAAATCAGGGCTTTTTCATAAATTTTTGTGGTACAGTGTTATTTAGTTCTTATTATTATTTTTAAATTATTGTCGCCTTAGTGATCCATGTCATCTCCTTTTAACATTTAAAATCACTGAAACATTCCTAAGTAGAACTCTTTTTTTTCTGTGATAAGCCCAGTAAATTCTCCTTAGTCAAGCAATAGAAATAAAAAATATTTACACAAGAAAATTTTGTTTTTGTATAACACAAATTTTCCCTGTGTAAATGGAACAAACATAATTTACCTACAATAAACAATAGATACTGATTAAAAATTTTAAAATCTTAATACTGTTACTTAAAGTTTGATCTGTTTATATTTACAATGCAGTTAAGTTTGATCTTGGTATATTAAAATAACAAAATTACCTTGCAATGACACTAGGAGCCACTAATCCAATGAGGAGGTAGTCACCATAATGTGTTCTCTCTTCATGTGAATAATGGTTATGCTCCTTCTAATTCAGATTAATTGTCAAAATTGTGATTTTTATACCAAAAATTACTTGAATTGGTCTAAAACAAATTACTATATAATTCAAATTCCAAGATTGAGTATGCTATTTGATGCAAAAACATGTGATGTCACTCATAGATAGTCTTGCTTTGGAGAAAATGAAAAGACTCTATTGCTTCTTACTTACTTGATAACTCAACTATATGATCTTCATAAAATATAATGATATAATCTGAATAGAAGTATTTTCGGGATCAATAAATTAGTCTGACTAGCACAAACAAAATACCAATCAAAGCTTGTATGTTCCGGTAATGTAATTTATTTTATAATAATTATGTTTAGTCAGGAAAAATAACTATGGAAAATACCATAACTTTGCAGTTTTCCTACATTTTTGTATTCAGGAAACGCCTTAAAGAAACTTAGCAATGTCTATAAGAAACTATTGACATCATATACATAATTAATGCATGAATCATCAGGCAAACATTGGTGTGGTAGCTGGCAACACCTTATTCAGATAGGACAATGACCTTTATGTCTGGGCACTAAGGACTGTTTTACCCCATTCATTATACATGACATATTTGCATATTGAGTACAAGTTGGAAAGTGATGTTTCTATATAATCTTTGCAAGCAATCTAAATGGTAGCTGTATTATTTGGTTAATCGATTTTTGGTCTTATTGTAGATAGTATCTGGGTTTAAATTAATTTGTGTAACTGTTTAATAATGGGCTAATTTTGTTTAATAACTTGATTGCAGTGCAAATTATTTATATCTATGTAGATTTTCAAGGTCAATGCTACCTTCTTACTTAGTTTTTGACGCCCTTTGAATTATCAATAATACAATTAAATCGAATTGGATATTGACCTAATACACTCGAAAATGAATCAGCTAGACAGGTAACGACTTTTCAATGCAATTGAATATCGATTTATTATCTTTATATACGAATACTTAATTTTCGTATTTTTAGCAATTTTTTATCAACAGACGAGTAGGTATGTTATTTGACTATAAAAAAAGACGTCATAGGTTCATTAATAGAGAAAAATCGTTCTTGATATTAGACGTGTTCTTCCATCATCGCTTACTAGGCCTGATAGAGGCTAAATGCCAGCCATTTATACTTACTATAAAAAAGAAAAGATATTCATTAAAAGTATTGAATTTCACTTGTTTTAAAATACTGTATAAGATCTATTTGTTAAACAATTTCTCTACATTAGGCTATAATAACATGTACAATTTAAATACATTATTTAACATGAACTGTAATTAGATCATTACATCACCAGTATACATTTGAATTAATAATTAATTATCATTATCTTACAAAAGTCATTGACAGCCACATTTCAATTTGCCACTGCAGTAAAATTCTCAAGGTCAAATACCAAAATCGACTTTAAGTGACCAAAACATAATACATTTTTGCATAACTTGTTTCTCTTTTAAAATACTGAATGGTAAGTTAATAATAAAATCCACCGATTTAGGAATTCTTTATAGATTCAAAGTAGTAGGTGCATTTTGACTTCATCTTCCTACGAATACTGCATCAATATGTGTCAAGTTAACTCAAGCTTCTACCACAACCCACTCGGATGTTATGAAATAATTATTCTAAATTATTTATTTATTGTTATATCAATGCGACTTTCTATGGTCACCAGTGGGCGTACACTTGACCAACTTGGCGAGGCCAGCGAAGTTTTCATTCATTTTAAATACAATTTAAATGAATCTTGGAGTTTTCTGGAAAAGATCCTATGTTCGTTTTTTAGTTAAGTATTTCTAAGACTTTTGAAAGAGATAGACTGTCCACTCTCTGCTAGGTACTGTTCTGCATAGCTTATTGATAAATATATTCGCAGAATCTTCAGTAAAAATGATAACCTAGATTGTTGGTTTTCATTAAAAAAGTTTTAGTGAAACTAAATAGTTTCTTCACTTGCCGAAGGTCTAATTCATTACAGAAAATCGCTGCTTTAAATATCTGTTTATAATATAAACGTTTTTTGACGACAACATTCTAACTAAGCTAAAAGAGCCTTTCCTTTTTTTAGTTAAGGCCAATAATCGCAAATTTTGATGACTCCAGCTGAATAATACGGTGTCCGTAGCCTAGCCTACAACATAACATTTCAATCCATCTTTCTCAATCATAAAAATCAAGACACTTCTTAGGTTTCTCTAGCTCTGGAGGTCTTCAATGCTACCTTATAAAAAATGCGATCTCAAACTCATACAAACATACCAACCTACGTTGATTAGATGTAGGCGTAGTTTAGTAGCGGTTAAGCAATGCTCAGCAAGGTCAATAGATAGATGGATCTCAGATTAAAGGGCATTGTTTAAACGATTGAAAAAAGCGCCACTGGAGATTTTCAAAGCAATATTTGTGCCGGATTGGGGTCTTACGGGACCAAATGGTATTAAACAGTGTGTAACGATAAATAAGAATAATATCTTTTTCTTTTCTTTT